GAACCAATTCTCTAGGTGAAGACTTGGTTCCCAGTACCATTCTAAAAGAACTTCATTGTTTCCCCATAACCTTACTAAACAAAAGGCCACGGTGTCACTTATGACTTCAGTGTCCATCAGGGTTTTGTTTTCTATTCAGAATAAAACAGTATATGGGCTCAGAATTTATTGTAGCATGGCTCCTCTTAATTCTTATGGATTCTTCTCACTACCTCTCCTCTTTACTATCAGTAGTTGCTATGCATTGAAAGAATTTTCTTGGCTAAATTTTGAATTTTCTGCAAAGAATACAATAAAGATGGCGCTCCAAGAGCTATGATTCATAGCTATGTGAGGAGCCCGAATCCTTTCTAGAGTATTTCTTTTTAGGAAAGTCTTAGGACTTTCTGAAACTTTTAAGTATTTCTGAATACTTTCAAACATATCTTAAACAAAACAACCTGTTTCTTTTCAAATAATACAAAGTTTTACATTCCTACCCTGAGAGAGATGAGTACTATCCTCCATCAACTCAAAAACTGGCCAAAGAGAAGGGAGAAGGTTTGTAAACCCAGGAAGCTGAAACACCCCAAGGGCACTACTGTGAGTTTCCAGTGCAGTGATGTCCTGGCAGGGATCATGCAAAGGAAAAGAATAAGTCACTTTTCAGGCAGGTGCCCTTTACTCTCACATTTTGGCAATGGCCCATTTCCTGTTTGCATTCCTTTCTGCTTCACAGCCTCAATCCAGGTGGGGAAGAGTGACGCGGAACCTGGGGTGTTATTTGATGTGTGGCATGTGTATACTTCCTTCCCTTGACTGGGCTCTTTTCAGTGTGAACTAAGGTGTCCTACTGTTTCACATAAGGACAGTGATCATATTGGCCCTTAAAATCTTTGGGAGTAGCTGCTGTATGCCTCTATTACAAAGCACTTTGCTTTACCAAGTTAGAGCTCTGCTCCAGGCCAATTCGTGACCCTCATGCTCATAGTAAAGATTTCTCTCACTGTAACCTTGAAAGGCTACTAAAATGGGACATTACTTTTACCTGCAGAGTTAATTCAGGCTTCTACTTTAAAGACAAGAATAAGTATTGAGAAATTTGGATAAATTTCATGTATATATGTTTGTCATTTGATTCTTCATAAAATATTTTTGTTTAAAGAAGAACTGAAATATTGCAAGCTTCTGATTGAATTTACACTCTTTACTTTCCTTGGCAAATACTATTTTTCTATATATTAATCTGCTGACTCTTTCCATTTCCCATTCAAGTGTTCATTTCTTCACTCTGCATGCAACAAGTATTTCAGGAGCACTTGTCATGTACAAAGCACTGAAGACACAGATGCAAAAGATAGATGCAGTCTCTACCCTCATATGAAAGGGGAAATGCATATTAAATAACTAGGTACAAAATTAACAGTTCAATTGTAACTTTGGTAAGAGCAATGAGAGACACAATGGAAGTATCTAACTGTGGGTGAATTTGCTTAGTCTGGGAGTTCTGGGAAGGCTTCCTTGAGGAAGTGAAATTGAAGCTAAGCTCTTAAGGGTGAGTAGATATTGACTAAGCAAAGTTGAAATAGTAGGAGTAAAAGTATTCAGGTAGAAAGGCCATTACGTGTAAAGGCTGAGGTGGAAATAACCAAGGAAAACTCAAGGAACCACCATAAGGAAGATGGGTTCATGGTGGGCCAGTGAAGCACGTGTTCTTGCTGTGCCACAGATTTATTTATTTCACTAAAGATTTACTATCACTGTATATATATATATACACACACACACACACATATATATATAATGCACTAGGCACTGTGCCATGGGCTAGGGATATGACAGTGAGTAGACATTCTACCCTCTCACAGCTTATACTTTGGTGGCAATGATGATATTAAGAGATAAGTGCTCTGATAGGGGAATAAAGAGAAAAGGCTTCTAACTCAGACTGAAAGGTCAACAAACTAGAGGTGGTATCAAAACTGGTACCTGAAAGACAGTAGGCATTAAGAAGATTGAGGTGGTAGTGGAAGTGTGGGATTGATCGTATGAAGAGTGGGTTTGAAGGCCAAAGACTAGGAGAGAAAAAGAAGGATGTGCTTGGGGACTTGAAATAAGCGTAAGTGTAGAGACTCAAATAAAAGGAGGTGATTTGAACAATGGACAAGATATAAGCACAAAATAAGATGAATAGGCATTTACTATGGATGTGATGATTAACGGAGGCAGTGCTATGTTGGGTGAAGAGGTCAGACAGAGTCAGGGAATGGCCTGCCATCTGATTCTACTGCTGGATCATTGTAGATCTTGAGGAATCACTGACACTCTTTTGGCCTTTATTTCTTCATTGATTACATAGTTGGACTACATTCTTTCCTGATCATAGATTCCATAATACTATTTAAAAGCCCTCATGTAGGCTGGGCAAAGTTTGAGAGGTCATTCATAAATTTTTGAGGCCACAGAGACAAGTAGTGACAAAGCCCATTTAGTCTCAGTAATATATACATAAAAGTCAGTAAAAAATTATTTTTGATTGAAAGCAATATCGCCCACCCAATTTTCTTCTTTATTCTCAAAAATCTGAACCCTTAGTTATGTGAGAAATAAAATTTATTTCATGCAAATTCAAATTCTTCCTTCTTACCACTGCTTTTTACTGAAAACGTCTCATTTTTCTATTTATATTGAACCCAAAGTAGACTTAAGGTCTGAAGTGCGTCAAAGGAATGCCATAAAGACTTGCCAGTTGTGTCAAAAACTAAATTGATTGACGGTGTTGAGATTAAATGAACAATTGGTTGACTTCTTGACATTTTTATCAAGTTGTTAATTAATGAATATCAAATAAGTGTCAGGCTCAGGTAGAGAGAGGATGTTCTCTTGCCTTTACCACGGAGAATTGGGGAGAGATTCCCATTCGCAAAGTGTTCCCTGAAATGGACAACCTACATTCGCTAGATCAAATAGTGCCCAATATTCAGAATAACTTCAAGTTTTATGAAATAAATGTATACAAACCCCTAATTAGTATAACAGCCATTCAGATTTATGTATGAAATAAGGACATGCTAGCCAAAATATGTAAATCACTGTCATAAATATCCACTCTACTGGAAAGGTAGAGGATTACACATTACTGAGGCTTCCACAGTAAAGATTTGGAGAAACTGAGACAAGAGAAACCAGAATTACATCCCAGTTGACACTCTAGATTGTTCCTTGATGATACCATCCTAATATACAGCTTCTGTTTAAAATGTCAACCCAAGACCAGGAATTACTAAATGTTCAGACACTGACTATTTGTTTAGAAATTAAACAGAAAACCTTCTTTGACCTTCTAGGTATCTTTGAACTTGGAAGTTCTGGTCATCTCAATTTCAAAGCTCGTGAGAAGGAGACATTTATAATGACAAGCCAAAATAAAGAGGGTGAAAGATTGTCTTTTCAGTATAGAAAGGGGGAAATCTAAGGATAGGCATGAACAAAATGAATACCCGTGAGCAGCAATTTAGCAGGATTTTAGCAACCCCTGATCTAATTGTGTGTGAAGCTTGAAGCTTTAGTAAAAGAAGCTTAGAACAATTACTTTGTACAGAAAAACTACTTTGTCTAGTATATAATGGACTTTAGACTTTTCTGAAGAGGTGGTAAGGATAAGAATGGACAAGGTTCAAGCTCTGCTTAAGTATAAGCTAGGATTTGTACAACATTTGTGGTTGGCATCATGTGGCCTCTCATCATAAGCTTTAGGGCCCTCTTGGACGCAGCCCCTATGATCCAATGAACAATGACCTAATCCCTGCTGGCCACTGTTTTTGTCCTGGTAGTCCTCTGTTTCTTACACATTCAATGACCTCCTCAGACAATATATGATGATGAAGAATATTAATTATACAGAGATATGACCTCTTGTTCTTAGTCTATTATCACACTAATGATAACTGCTAACCTTTATTGAGCACCTGCCATTGTGCCATATTCTGTTCTCAGTGGATTTTATACAACTCATTTAATTTGGATATTAACCCTGTGAAGTGGTACTAGTCATATTCCCATTCACAAGTGAGGAATCTGAGACAAAAATACATGAATTAACTTTCCCAGAGTTTCACTGTATCTTAGTGATGGAGCCAGGATTTAAGCTCCAGTAGTCAGGCTCCATTGCCTGTACCTAACCCACACATTTCTGCCACTACTGTGGACCAGATGAGGAAAGGATGTTAGAAACATTTAGCAGCATCTTTTTCAGTGCTAGCCCAGTGATTACCACCATTCTCATCTTTGGAGCCAAAGTTGACATATCCTATCCTATACTGCATTCTCCTATGCTTAGGAAAAGGGAGATGGCAAGATGATTGAATGGAAAAGGATGGAGTCTTTTGATTTAAATTTTCATGGCTTTACTTACATGGTTCAGCCCAGGTTGGTGCATTCCATTTGCTTCATCCAAGACTAGGAGTCCCTACAGGGTCAAAGCTCCATATGGTTGATAGCTGGTCCTTCGTATATGAATAGCTGGCCAATACATAAGCAGAGGGAAAATCGGGAGTGGACGCACTGTGAAATTGTCAGAAAAAATGCTTCCCAACAGTCCCATGGAAAGGGAATGTGGGGAGTGAGGGGCTAAGCAAAGCTTCTGTAGCTCTCCACTGAGCAATGACCTGGCTTATTCTCTCAGAGATGCCAGCTGTGTTTCTATTTTCTAAGTAGGACCCCCAGACAGTATTTTGTATATCAAATGGGGGCAACCAATAAGATGAGAGACATTTACAGGTATTCACATGGAGGTAGACTGTATTACTCTTGCTTATTCTCACAGGCACTCTCCTGGCAAAAGCAGGCACAAGCGCGTGTGTGCCTGTGCATGTGTGCGCACACACACACACAAATACACCCCTTGTCTTTCCATCTCATCGTTTCATTCCTGGCCAGTTAAGAGAAAAGTGGATCCCTCTCCCACCATAGCTTACTAATGTGATGCTTTTTTTCTCTCTTTCTTCTATTTTCAATCACAGCAGAATCTAAGAAGAAGAAAAAGGAAGGCAAGAAACAGGAGAAGATGCTGGACTAAAAGACGCCACCTTCTGTGGAACATGAAAAGGACGTCAGCAAGCAAGATCAGTTAACTATTGCATTTATACCTACCGTAGGCTTTTTATTCAAAATTATCTATAGCTTAAGTACACAATAGGCAGAAACGAAAAGAAAAGAAAATTTTTGTAGTAGCATTTTTTAAATGTATACCATAGTACCACTAGGGGCTTATAATAAGGACTGTAATCCTATTTAGACAGTTGACTTATAGTACATGATAAATGGTAGAAAATTGAGGTAAGTTTTTTGAAGTTATGTGATATTTTACATTTAAAATCTTTTTTTTTTTACACTTTTTTCTTTTGGCAGCAATTTAAATGTTGTGACCATGTAAACAACTTCTCTTCTTAGGTAATTTTTTTCTCTAGACTTTTTTTCCCAATTGAGAAAAGTATATACTAAACAAAGCAGCAATAAAATTATAATCATCCTATTTGAGGAAAACATCTTGTTTTCTGCCAATGGATTTTTAAAAAAATTGTAGTCAGCAAAATAGAGGGAGGGAAGCAGAGCATGCCCTAGTTCCATGTTGACTTTTTTTTTAAAAAAAAAATCATTAAAACATGAAATTCTTTCACTTTGGCAGAAACATTTGTTTTCTTGATGAAATTATTTTTCCATCTGAGGAAAAAAAATGATTAGGAAAATAAATCAAGGTGATGCTGAAAAAAGGGTGCTTTTGTGTGTAATAATTTATATTATAACCCACCTGCGTTTGTCACCTACACTCCCCCCATCAACCTGTTAGCAGTGAGAATTTATCATACCAACTAATTTAGTCACTCTTGGCTACAAATGTTACAGAGGATTTTATTTAGATATAGATAAATGTAGAGGTAGATATAGATATCTATATGTCTCTACCTATATATTTTTAACTTTCTATCAATATTTAGTAGGTTAGACTATGCTACTGAATTGAACGAAAGTCTCAAAGTAGTCTATGGATTAGTCCCAAAGCAGTCTAGTAGGCTAGTAATTAAGAAAATGCTCCTCTTATATTGTGTAAGTCTGGGCTTGCACAGTGCAAATCAAGATCAGAGTGACAGAATGCAAAATGGTAGTTTGTGCTTGGTTTCTGTAAACCAAGAATTCCTACTCTTATCTATCGCATGAGTGCCAAAGGCTATCTGTACAACTCCCTTATCTGCTGGGCTCTAAGCACAGTGTTTAAGTAAACAAGACTAAGCTTCCATTATTCAGAGAAATAACGTCTCAGAAATCAGCTGAGATTAGCTTCAAAGTATTTCTCTTGAAACAGCCATCTCTAATTTTACAGTGATAAGACTCAAAAACAAACACCCATCTATCAACACAAATCTGAGTACATATTCAGAAATGGTGGTTTTAACATATGCTGGGCTAGCCATAAAATTGCAAACTGGTCTAATGATGTAATCAAAGCGTCTTCAAAGCTAAACTGTTTTTACCACCTAGTCAAAGACTCCACTTGAGCTAGGAATGTGGAGGGAGTCCATATCTCCCCACTAAATCAAAGCCAGCTGCCGGGGGGAGTCGAAAAAGGAATGGACTTCTGGGCACATACACTGAACATTTTATGGACTGGTGCTTAATAAAGCAGAGTACCTTGTACAGTGCAAATGGCAGAAGCATGAATAGTGAATGCAGTCCTTTTATAAGCAGACCCTAATAGGAAAAAAGTACTCACGGGGATGGATGGAGGAAATGAAAGAAAGGCATTGTCTCGAGCGGGTTTTTTGACAGCAGAGTCCCGTAAGAATAGGGATGGTGAAAGTCTGCAGCAAATTTTGTTAGCCTCTCACCTAATATTGCTCCTCCATCATTATTGAGTCAAAATAGCAGCCCATGAATCAATAATGAGCTAAGGTGAAGTATAACAAAATCTCCCAAAGGAAAAACAGTCCTGTAAATAATCGTGGCATGCCCCTTTATTCACAGGGCATGGCAGGAAGCCAGGGGTTCTCTGCCTTGTTGACAATGATTCCTAACAAACTATATAACTCCCTGATTCTCTGTGAAAGCAAGGGTTGGAATGCTAATCTCTGTTGCATAGGTTATGAAATTAAACTTCCTCTGAGTCTCGAGAATTATTCTAACCCCTGGCCCAGCTTTAAATATCTTGCTAAATCTCACTAAAGTATGGAAAACATAAATACAAAAGGCCAAGCTTCAAAAATCACTGATTCTCACAAACAGGAGAAAACAGACCATCATCAGTGGTCATTATAGTGTGGCCTAGCAAACTCTCTCTTTCCAAATGTTCTGAGTTTTATGAACTTTACTCTAAAGTTCATTAACCCTTGAGGACAGAGAGGGAAATGTAAAGAAGTCAGCTGTGTTTCCTTAAATGGCCTTAGAGTGAAAGACAAGCCTTCCTTCCAACAATTAGGAGGGCACAGAGGAGGCTCGCCAAAACCCAAGCAAAAACAATCCTTCAGTGACCGGTCAGTGTCCTTGTTCAGCTCAGTGATTGCATCCTCCACACCTGTACCCCGGTAGACTTTCTGATTTATCCTGAATATATGAATGCTGTCAACTCATTATACATACATGCTATCAAGAAGATCTTGGACAAAGATATTTTAACTTCATATATTCCTGGAATGACATCCTAACGTCTTATTAACTCTGTAGGAGTAGAACTCCAAACAGAATTTGATGCTCTGAATATTTATCAAATTAAGTTCAATTAAATTGTGTGGGTGAGAAGGCATGGGTATAACAAAATTAAGTAACTTTATTTGTGGGTCCTTTACTGTACGGAGTCATATTAAAGGAAAGAAAGATTACAGTCCTTTTCTCATTGAGAAGATAAATATTTAAGAATAAGACACACATCTTTTTCCATAATATATAACTCTTGGCTCCATAATTCTGAAAGTTCTTAAATTAATTGTTTTGTAACTTCTTTAAATGAAAAACAGAGGTAAATATGCTGTAAGAGGCACTGAATGAGGCAATAGAAAATGCTATCTTTCACAAAATGATGATTTTAAAATAGTTCCCAAACATAAAAATTAGAACTTTATCAACCTTTAGTCATGAGATTTTCTAATGGAGTGGAGCAAAGGGCTTTCTTCCCATTAATCTTCTCCAAAAATAACATCAACATCCTTGGAAGAAGAATATCAAAGCATTCAATCTCCTTTTTTATTTTTCTGGCTTGCTTTTAATTTAATTAGTTTTAACTCTTAAGCTTTTAAAAGTGGAATTAATCAGAAGGCGAGGGAGTAGGGAAACAATTTTCCAACACTTCTCATGTCAACTCAAATTTTAGATTCTTCTTTGGTGTAAAACAGCCTCTTCACTGTCTACAAGGTTATTTCTGAGTTGCAAAACTTCTCTCCATGTTTTCCCCTGTATTACCATGTTTTCCTCCTGTAGCCCCATTCAGTCTTGGCTGCCACAATCAGACAGACACAAAGTGAAAGGACACTTTCTTCTTGTGTCTGGAAACCTTAACAGCAGACAATACCTGCTTCAGGTCTATCAAGCATTTCAACCTATTTTTCCAAGAAGATACAGAGTCTTGGAATATATTTACACAAGGAGAAAGCGGCATAATGTCATTCTGAGCATCCAGCAAGTAATGCCGACCTCAAACTTGCATGGACTCTAATTCCCCTAGAAATAAAAGAGATGGAACATTTTAGTCAGAGAGAAACATATCATAATTTTAGAAATTCATTGCCTCCCCTGCTGTTTCTATTCTACCCAATCTTTGACTTTTCCAAGCAAGGCACCGAAAGTAAAGTAAAATGCTCAATCCTGTTGGGGTCACAAGGACAATAATGTAGTTAAAGAATATTTCAACACAAAGGAATGCAGACCTACATATGTTTGGTTTTTTTAATTTAAAAAGAAAAATAAAGAACACTTAGCTCTCAATATCTAATTTCTGTAAAGTGACTTTTCTTTTAAAGGGCAAAACCTCAACAGGCTGAACATTGTTTGATGTATTTCTTATGTACATATCCATTAACTACTCTGTTGTTACTCAGGGGTTGGCTAAGGAGGTTATAGCTCTAGATTATCACCACATCTTCTTTTGTTCTTTGAAAATGTGCATGGAAGCCACAAACTTCACATCAGCGAATGAAAGCATGGAAACTCCTGACGTCATATCCCTGGAGTCCTGGGACCGGACGGATGCCTTGGAGACCTACAGATAGAGCGATCCGGATGCAGACGCTCAACTTGCTCTTCGTGGAGATACGGATGTTACATAAACTAAAATAATCACAGAGAATGACTTTTTCCCTTGGTCTTTCGACTGTCAGATCCATCAAACACAGGACAAACAAATCTTCAAGTATCTTAGTTTATGAGATTCTTGAAGAATTACACAAATACTCCAGTCACTACAAATGACCAACAGATCGAGATGCTTGCAATAAGTAATATGAATTTTAGACTAAATCCAAAATTTGTACACTTGTAAGGTGGCAATAGCTAATAATTAAAATTCTTACCAATTGATTTTGAGATTTGCCAATCTACTATCTTGTAGCAAGGATGAAGAGAGAGCTATCAGGGATCTGTTCTGGGATGTGGTCAGGAGAGTGGGCAAGCGTGTATAATTGCTCTAACTCAGCATTTCTGAAGCCTCCAACTTCTTTCCCTCTATGTCAAGCTGAAACATGTCTTGCCATCTGAGGTAATTTTCTTTGGGCAGCGTTTGGGTTAGGTTTGTATTAATTAAACTAGGAAACTTAACCAGTGCTGGAAAATTGGATTTGGACTTTCTGGCGATTGCATCCTGATCAAGAAATTCGACCATATTCAAAAGAAGAATCCATTCTCCTAGGAAGTGCACCTCTAAAGTCTATTTGAACAAATACCATTTGACGTTAATTGTATAGATTAATATAGATTAATTAATTCCTGAAAATCTCTTTGAATATATTTCCCCTTTCAAATTCTGATTATACATTTCACCCCATAGGCTATGACTCCTTTCAATTCATTACCTACCTTGTGCATTCCTTCACACAGCATGGTTATTAAGTGCTCAGCACTGTTATGGATGCTAGGGATGCAGCAAAGAAAAAAGAAAACAAAATCCCTGTTTTGATGGAATTTACCCTTCTGCTGGGGACACAGACAATGAACACAATGACTATATATCACTGTATGACAAAACACCTAAAGGCTTCAAATGGCTATTTTATTATCTCTTCACTCTCCATGTTGGTTGACTGAGCTTATCAGTCTGGTCCTTTTGCTTCATGTGATGTTAGCTTGAGGGCCTGGGATGTCCAACGTGGCTCACTCACGTGTCTGACTTCTTAGGGGAAATAGCTGGAAAATTGGACTCAAGTGGGACAATGGATGGCAAGGTCTCTTTCTCTCTCCATGTAGTCTCAAGGCGTCACTCTTTCTACATGGCATTGTCTCTCTCTCCAGTGTCTACAGCAGAGTAACCAGCCCTTTCACATGGCAGCAGAGAACTCTCCAAAGCACAAAGCTGGAAGCCACCAAGTCTTCTTAAGGCTTAGGTTTGGAATGGGCCCAGCATCATTTCTACCACATTCTAGTGGTTAAAATGAGTCATAGGGCTGGCCCAGATGCTGGAGGAGGGGACTACACAGGGAGTGAATCCCAGGAGGCTCACTGGGGGCTATGTTTGGGGACAAAGTACACAAAAAAGTAAAATATATATTAAATGATGATAATTGCAAT